ACTGGAGGCGACGAAGGGCGGATGTAAGGTATAGCAAAACGCACTGAGTTTAATGGCCCGCGGGCCACATTACCTGGGCTCGCTGCTGTATGCCGCCGCCGCCCACGGACACCTGCAGGTGAGCCCGACATTGGACGCGACGAAACGAAGACAGGTACAGCAAGAACGCAGAGTGTAAAAGACCACGGGCTACATTACCCGGGCTCGCCGCACACGGACACCTGCAGGTGAGCCCCACACCGGACGTGACGAAAAGAGGATGTAAGGTATGGCAAAAACGCACTGAGTGTAAAGGCCCGCGGGTTACATTACCTGGGCTCGCCGCGCACAGACACCTGCAGGTGAGCCCCTTACTGGAGGCGACGAAGGGCGGATGTAAGGTATAGCAAGAACGCACTGAGTGTAATGGCCCGCGGGCCACATTAATCGCTGCTGCACGCCGCCGCCACCCACGGACACCTGCAGGTGAGCCCCACACTGGATGCGACGAAAAGAACACAGGTACTGCGAGAACGCACTGAGTGTAAAGGCCCGCGGGCTACATTACCTGGGCTCGCCGCGCACGGACACCTGCAGATGAGCCCCACACTAGACGCGACGAAGTGCGTTTGTAATGTAATGTACAGCAAAAACGCACTGATGTAGGTACAGCAATGTACCTACATCATGTAAGGTACAGCAAAAACGCACTGAGTGTAAAGGCCCCATTCCCTGGGCAAGCCGCTACACGCGGCCGCCGCTCACTGACACCTGCAGGTGAGCCCCACACTGGACGAAGGGCGAATGAAAGTTATAGCAAGAACGCACTGAGTGTAATGGCCCGCGGGCCACATTACCTGGGCTCGCCGCTGCACGCCCCTGCCGCACACGGACACGTGCTGACAACAGTGCGATCACACATTAGGCATTGTTTGTGAATGAATGCAAATCATTTTTCCGTGTCATTCAATCAATCATTTGAACATGTCATCGACCACTACTCCAATTTGTTTTGGCATTTATGAGTGTAAAAACACTTGCTCAGATGATTGAACAGAAAATTGGATCAGCGAATATGACAAAAGCGTAAAGGTGCTT